ACATCAGTAGAACTAGCTCTGAAACGTAATTTGTCGAAATGCTCATCTGGTGCATCAAAATTGGTGCCGTATGAGATTAACAACATGTACTAAGATAAATGTATCGAGTTTCGGGACGGCAAATACTACGCGAAGTTGCCAAGTTGATAAACAAACCAAAGCACTAAAGCACTATCAACAGAAATACACAGAACAGAAGAAATACAGTGAGATATTCAAGGAACAGGAACAAAAAGGATTGATAGAAAATGTACCAGCGGATACAAAATCGTCTTCTGTAGTGCTTTATATTCGACACCACTATATAAAAAAAGGTTCCAGCACAAGTCTATGAATGTAGCTTCCGCAGATAACATGACAAGCCGAGACTTAATTACTGCCTTGAATCAACGCCAACCATCTAAAATAATTTCACATAATTCTAACAAAATTTCGATACTCGAATATTTTTAAATTCAGTGTAATTTTCTAAATGAAATCCATTGGAAATCAAAAAGTTTCAATAGCCTATAAAACACACAAAACCTTGTCACTGCACAGTAAAATACACAGTAGGAACTTTATGCATTGTAAATACTCTAGGAACACCAAAATGTATATTGTTTTGACTCAGATTAATTAAAAACAACTACCCTGTTAAATTTTCGTAAAAATACAACAACTGCGCGTTTATAATTAATTTCTCTTTTTTTCCTCCCAGTGTTCATTATTGTTATTTAACTTTCCATGTCACAGACGGATCTTACGTCTATTAAACAAACCAGTTCGGAAACGCGCTAAGTTCATAATAAAGATTAACGAAATTAACAATGATGAAGAGAGAAAATTGGAAAGTATAAATACAAGCTGAAGCTGACGCACGGTGTTCAATTTGTCGGCATGAACAGTTGTTGTTAAAGGACCGACGACATCAAAAATGAGAATTCAATGCTTAATTCCTGTAACCACAGACATTGAAAAAGCATTTCTGCACGTTGGCCGAGATACAACGATTCCTTTGGCTAAAGGACCCGAATGATCTCAACAGTTTATTAGTGCCTTACCGTTTCAAAGCAGTTCTTTTTGGAGCAACTTGCTCCCCATTTATTGTAAACGCATCAATTCCTTAGCATCTACTTAACAAGAACTCTGCAAGTGCAGATATCTGTATGTGGATAATGTGATATCAAGTTTTGCAAGTGAAACTGATGCTCTTGAGTACTTTCGGGAATCAAGGAAGATCATGATGGATGCAGAAACGAAACTTAGATCACGGACATCGAACAGTGAGCTACTTCACAGGAAGAAACAAGACCTTTCAGTTAAAACGGAAAGGCGACTTTCAGTGACTTTTCAGTGGCGGTTCGATCCCGACTTCCGGCATCAACTTTTTTTTTCTTATATTCACTTATTTTTCATTTTTTTTTTACTTGAAATAGATTAATATAATACAATTATAATAAGAAAAAGTGAAATAAAATTTCTAAGTTAAAAAATAAGCTGATTATTCAATAAAAAGATACAACTGAAAGATAACTGAAAGGCCACTGAAATACATCTGCCATTCAGTCGACTGAATGGTAACTGAAAGACCACTGAAAAGTCACGGGAAAGGAACTTTTCAGTGACCTTTCTGTGGCCATTCATACCATTCCGTCGTCTGAATGGTGTAATTATGTTCCCCAAACGAAGTTTGGGAACATATTGTTTTTACTGTGTTTCTTATTATTATTATTATTATTATTTTTCTTCCTGGGTACTTTTTTGTCCGTGAGTGATCTCCGAAACTACACATCCGATTGAGGTGAAACCTTTTTAGGGTTAATAGGAATGTTATGTAGATTTGCGGAACGAAGGTCATTTTGCGCGCACGTGCGTGCACGTGCAATGAGTAAAATGACCGATATACTTGATATAGCCATAACTTTCATATCTTTTGATGAAATACTTTGATACTCAGAATATAAGGATATATTAATAGTGTAGACAAGATGACATGGTCAAAATGCGCATGCATGCACGTGCGCGCATGCGCATTGATTGAAATAACCAATACAATTGATATAGACTTAACTTGTACATTTTTTGATGAATTGCTTTGAAACTCAGAATATTAATATATATTAGAAGTGTAGGCAAGAAGACTTGATCAGCGCACACATGCATGCACGTGCGCGCGCGTGCAATGAGTAAAATGACAGATATACTTGATATAGCCATAACTTTCATATTTTTTAATGAAATGCTTTGATACTCAGGATATCTGGATATATTAAAAGTGTAGACAAGATGACATGGTCAGAATGCACATGCATGCACGTGTGCGCATGCGCAAATGATTGAAATAACCAATAAAAATGATATAGACTTAACTTGTACATTTTTTGATGAATTGCTTTGATTCTCAGAATATAAATATATATTAGAAATGTAGACAAGATGACATGGTCAGCGCACACATGCATGCACGTGCGTACGCGTGCAATGAGTAAAATTACCAATATACTTGATATAACCATAACTTTTACATTTTTTGATGTAATGCTTTGATACTCAGAATAGATAGATATATTATTAATGTAGACAAGACGACATTGTCAACATGCACATGCATGCACGTGCGCATGCATGCAATGCTAAAATGACCAATATACTTGATATAGCTGTAACTTTTATACTTTTTGATGAAATGCTTTGAACTCAAAATATGTAGATATATACTAATAGTATAGATAAGATGACACGGTCATCATGGATATGCATGCACGTGCGCGCGCTTGCAAAGCGTTAAATGACAGATATACTTAATATAGCCAAATTTTTTTTTATCTTTTGATGAAATTTGAATATAAAGATGTATTAAAAGTGTAGACAAGTCGACATGGTCATTTTGTACATGCATGCCAGTGCGCGCGCGTGTAATGCGTAAAAAAAAATATACTTGATTGCCTTATTTAATGATGCTTACAGGGAATAAGACACCAAAAGGAAGTTGGGGAGCGTTTGGGGAACATCTGTAACGGTCCCCGTTACAATTAATACTAGTTTCATCTTGTGCTTCACACAGAAGCAATGTATCATAGATTACACGACTCGGACGAAGAAATAAAATTACTAGGATTACGCTGGGATCCAAGGAACGACAGACTATCATTTGCAAAACGAGAAATACCAAAACTTGAAACTGTTACAAAGAGATTGATACTACAATACTTTTTAAAATCACTTTTGAAGTCGCTGGAAGAGAGAATATTTGACTTCACTGAGAGAGTACTATACAGCATATGGAAGTGACACAGAATATGAAAGTTGAAGATATTGTCCAAATTCACTAGGATAGACCTCGGATCATGTTGGAAGTACATGTAGCTATCGTGGAGGAACTCTTACAGGGAAGAGACGGAATCGTCAGAGCTGTCACTTTACTGACTTTTTCAAATTTTCAAATTTTATTATTCATTTGAACATGCTTTAAGTTACTCCTAACAAAAAAAGAGTATATTTAACTATAGTTTACTATACATGTAGTTAACTTTAATTAACTATAGTATCAAAGTTTTTACTATGGTAAATCAAAGTATTTTTACTATGGATTTCAGATTGTTTTATTTTAAGTTCTCCAATTCATACATGCAAATTTTTTATATTAAATGGAAATATTATTTGTATATTCACATATAATCTCCATATTTAACATAATTTATATTGAATTTAAGATATGTTAAGTTTTGAAGTCATTAAAACTAAAGTAAATTTTCAAAGTAAATCAAAGTATCAAAGTATTAACTATACTTAACTATAGTAAACTATAGTTTACCATAGTAGTTTTTTTTGTTTGGGATGTTACACTAGATAGTAACACGTTTCTAAATAAACCACTTTACGATCAAGACATGTTTTTATACCTTTGCTATACATTTCACAACAATGTTTGTTCAAAATATGACCCAAGAGTGTAGGACGTCCTGTCAATATATTGGCGATCAAAGTTTTCATAGGAATAAATGGAGAAAATATTAAAAATTCTTTTTTTTTTCCAAGAGCAGCAAAGTCATGATGAAGGATTTTTATATAGAAGCATCTTCAGGTAGTGTAAATTCTTATTTGTTCAAATCTTGACCCCAGTGATAGTTTAGGGTCACAATGTTAAATCAAAATTTTACATAAGAATGTATTGTAAAAATATTTTAAAAGTATTCTTCTGCCGTGATTACTAATAGTCTTATGTATAAAGAAGCATACTGAGATTTCATTTTGTTTAAATCATTACAACTAGGGGGTAGGGTTGGGCCAGTATTTATAAACTTGATTTAACATAGGAATATATTTGGTAAAAATATGCTGATTAAGAACAGATTGACTAGAGTTAATCAGGTGAGCGTTGTGGCCTTTGGGCCTCTTGATACATTGTTGATAATTTTCGAATGAGAGAGGATATGGCATTCGTATTTGACAAGTCATGAACCCTTCATCTCACGAACAGGAAAGTCATGAATGGTCATAATAATATAAAACCATCCTCAAGTACTGTATATTCAAATTTGTTCAAATCATGACCCCCAGGAGCATAGAGGGGCGATAACAGGTGATCATAGTTATGCAAAGAAATATAAGGGATATATTGATAAAAAAATTCTTCAGCAAAGACATTGTGTGCCATATTAATTCAAAAGCATGCTTAAGTTGTATAGATTCAAGTTTGTTCAAATCGTTATCCTCCCGGGAATAATATGTTGAAATTTATTCTTTAATTTAGGTAGACCAAGACCATTTGATGGGAAATCAAAAATTGATACTGGGATAAAGACAAATGAAGGACTTAATATATCAGCCAAGTTTATTGGATACCCTCTACCAAAGTTATCATGGAGATTTAAAAGGAATTTAACTGATGACTATAGAAACCTGTCCAATGAATTCAAAGTTTCTTCCTTGTCATTGAATGCCTCAACCATCCAGACAACCTTAGCTAAAGACACGCTAAATGAAGTACACTTTGGATATTACTTAGTGTCAGCTATCAATCCAGGAAAACCTTCTCAAGTTTTCAATGTCACTTACCATGTCATTCCAGAGAGTAAGTTTATGTTTGAAATCAGTTGATTAATTGAAATACTGTAGACGAATAGAGATTTATCAGTAACATTGGAACAAGATGTAATATTAGTAAAGGCAATGAATTTATTTTTTTATGTTATAGTAAATTTTTGTTGATCATAAACTTAGAAAACTGTTTGAGTTTTTATACTCTCCGCTTAAAAGAGAAACACCGACATCTTAAGAACGAACTCTTCTTAACTTCCCGTATAACGGTAGTTTTCCTGTGACCAGTTATTAAGGTCTTCCGTTTCCAACGGAAGACCTTCTACTGATTCTGATGATTAAGATTATTCTTATTATTCTTTTTTTTTCCTAGACGCCAACTTTGAAGCTTCATATCTTCCTCATTTCTGAACGGATTTTGTTCAAATTTTCAGAGCTTTTAGACTTTACAAAAGGCTCTCAGAATACTGTAATACAATTCGGAAATTACCTTCTGTTCACGAGTTATTCCCCTTTGATTGAAATTTTGATGCCTCTGGTTTCCAGACAAAGGCTCTGCGACTGTAATAATTGGAGCACAAAACCCTTTGAAATTGAAAAGAAGCATTGAAGCTGTGCACATCGGTTTTTGTTTTTTGATTTTTGCATTAAAAATGGCGCTAGAGAGGGGTCAAAAGTTTGAACGCGGAAAAGAGCAAAAAATTTGACATATTTTCCTTTATATCTTTAAAACTAAAAATATTTTGTTAAAACATGTAGAATAAAAGTTGTGCATAATAGCAAGAGCTTTTATTTGATATCATTTAAAAGGGGCTGGTCCCTAAAATTAGGGATCTAGAGCCCTTGAAAGTTTTCACTTTATAACTCAAAAACGGTAAATATTTCGATATGGCTTTCGGAATTAAAGTTGTTCTTTAACACCTTATTGATCTCATACAAATGTTGTTTTGTTTGAGTATTGCGTAATATGTCGTAATATGTAGGTAAAAAGCAGGTCCCGTAAACAGGTGAGCGTTTTCATTCGGCAAGTAAATCAGAACTCTTCATGTGTATAACTTAAACAAACTTGCAATAAATTATATACCCTACTGTATTTAATGCTAATTTTCTTCTAAATAAGGTTTTAAACATGTTCTGTGGTTCACTCATAAATTATTTTTTACAACTTTCTTTTCTTTTTTAATTTAGATTTAAAGGGAACACGTCTTCAAATAAAGGAAGGAATTAAATGTATCTATATAACTATATAAGTAATATTAAACTTTAAGCATCGAATAATTATTGATCATTAACTGTACGCATTTTACCAGTTTACGTTCTCCATGTTCACCTCGATGTTTATAGTTATGTAACACAACCCGCGATCCCACGTTGCCGAGGTCACCAGTGTACCAGCCACCTGCGGTCAAAAGCCATGTAAACAAAACAAACGTCTGAGAAGACAAATCCATTGTGTAGAAACAACGATTAATGAAACATTATGTTTTTTTTTTATTTATATCGAATCTTTAAGATAACTTAATCTCATCTTTGTTTTAATCTTAATTCCAAACACTAGTGCATAAAATCATTACGAATTTTAATCGCTTTCACCGACCTGGTCACTGTCGACACAACAATACGATGAAAAAAAAAACAATTTATTTCTCTATCCCGTGTTATTGTATTCTATTTCAGTTGTAATTGTAAAGGTGCTACGGCAAATAATTGCAATTAGTGATGGAAATATTAAGTATTAATACTTGTGTAAAGTATAATTTGTACTATCAGTCTCTTGTTTCTTCATTTAGTTTTTCATTTAATATTAAATAAACTATATACATAAAATAATACTTTTAAACATACAATAGTTCACGCCTTCTTACAGCAGACAGTTTACATTCCGCTCTGTCTCTGTGTTTAACTTTAAAATTTGTAACCCACTCGTCGTTCACATGTGGCTGCAGAGATTAGCGAGCCGCGGTCATATCGGTGTTAAAATGCAATGTATACTCATAGCGTGATTAATGGAAAATTGTGTTTGAAATCATCTCGAATCTTAAATATTATTTTATTTCACTCTATCTCACGCTTATTTTTATCATTATCTTATCCGCCTGTGCATTTATTCATTTTAAGTTTTATGCATTTTAATTGCCAACTTAACCACTAGGTTTGCAACAATTTATTTTTCTGTCTCATGTTTTAAACTGCATGTACACATGCATAATAATTGTAAGTGGAGGTGACATTTTCAATTCTCGGGAAAATCGAAAATTAAATTAATCACTTCTGAGTTTGCATTATTTGCTACCAAACTTATAATTGTATTGTACAGAATGATATACTTATGCATTTCTTTTATTTCGTCGAATAAACAGAATATCCCAATACACAATTTTACGGATAAATGCTTGTAAGTACATGCAGTTTTACATGGAAGAGCGCCCAAACTAAATACATCCTGAGCTTTCAGAATACACATGCTTTGTACAATGCAAACGGGTAATTCACAGATAAGGAAAAACAGAAAAAAACATGTCTCTATAAATTAAATACACAATCGCAATGATGTGTTTTGATTTATCAGCATACGGTTTTTTATCCTTCGTCCATGCATTTCGACTATACGGAAAAAAGATCCTATTCAGTAAGATTATAGCAAACAAGGTTGAAAATTGTCGGACTTTTTATCCAAATTAAAAAAAAAAATGTGTTAGTCTTTTGAATGGCAATATATCCGAATAGTAATTAAACAGCCTATCAAAAATATCACGGTGCCCATATAAGGATGAAACTTTGTTTGGTAAATAAAGTGGTTCTTACAAATATGTAACAAATCTTAAACATCTAAATAATTATTTAATTTTTCTAACAAATACTAATTTGGTTCTAAGAAAGCCACGCAGTTGAATACAAATCTTCTGAAATTATCTTTCATGTTTAGTGGACTGACAGGTGATTAAATTTCCTCTCATCACGATACGTAGACCTCCGTCCCTCCTTTAAAGAATACAATGTTTTTCTTTAGAGCCGAAAATGTTAATCGGTTGGTTTGTTCAGGTACGTATACGTATAGGTGAGGGCTGGTGTTGAACTCCGAGAGAAATCAACAACCTATTTTAATGTAAACCAATAATCATACGCGACATTTGTTATTCGCGAATCGTCAAATGAATGAAAAACAAGGTCTGCAACGATTAATATCCGTGACTAAGCTTTCCTATTTTATAAACTTTTTAAGGTCTTTTATTTTATTTCCAAAACTAAAAAAATGTAACGATTTAATGTGTTCATTGGAGTGGTCAATTGAGCATCGAAGTGTGTACTAATAGTTTCTTTGGGTGGGGGGAGGTACCATTTTCGGTGCATTTGATTTTCGGAATTTTGCATTGCAATTCCGACAATTAATAGATTTCACTTCTAACATTTATTATTTTCATTCCCGATTTTTGACTATATTTCCAGCAATTTAATGTTAACAAAATAGATGGAATTAAAATTTTAATAGGATATATATGGTGAATGGCTGAAAATTTATACATTTTATAATGTACATGGTACTTACGGCCTTTGAGCAGTAAGGGATGGAGTACGGAGAAAATGATCAGCATTCCACAGGTGAAATGTTAAGGAAAAATGTACTTTTTCTTTGTGGAAAAGAGTGAAAGAGAATAATCTAAATGTGGAGACTACACTCTCTTTATTTGATACATATGTAGGTTCTGTTCTTCATTATGGATGTGAGACGTGGGAATTTCAGAAAGCCCCACATGTTGAGCAAGTACATATTAACTTTTTGAAGAAAATTACATGAATGTCGCTTTGAAAATCTACAAATAACTTAATGGTTTATTTCGAATTTGGTAGATGCCCAATATATGTTCAAAGAAAACTTCGAATTCTGAAATATTGGTGTAATTTGCTCAATACAAATAATTGCATTCTGCAGACACGTTATAAACAATTGTTATGTGAGTATGAAGAACAATAGAAAAATTGTACAAACTGGTTAAGTGCAGTTAGAAACCGTTTTTAAAACGCTATTTGGTTTGAGTGATAAAATCTTTTAAAAAGAATATTGATGACTACCTAACTCATCTGGAAAATCTGCAGCAAAATTTAAATTCTAATGAATCGATTTCGACTTCTTTATCAAAATTTTCCCGAACTTTTCCATAGACCTCTGGCTTTTCCCTTAATTCTGTAACACTCGGAACTTGAGAGTTACCCGCTAGGTGTCGTTTCTGCATCACTTCCGTATAATTTCTACTTTGACATTTCCAAATCTTACATTTTTTACGTTTGACGATGAATACTCGGATTATTGTGGAATGCGTAGGCAATTAAATAGCACGACTGAAGACAAAAAATATCTACCAAAACAAGATATAATAACATATTTTGGTGACATGTGGTAGGCATATGATATTTTAGGCCCGATATCCAAGAGGGGTCTAGTGTTAACAAATGGAAGTGACTTACCTTCTCTATTTCATAATACCGCGGGTATGATCTTTTAATAAAATGTTAATTCTACGTTATTTTTTTGGATTTTTCATATGGAATACATTGTAAATGTGTACTAGAAGATTAATTTATGGAAAAAGACGAATAAAAATATTCTTGGACCCAGGGTGTATATTGGGGGGGGGGGGTGTTCCTGTCCACAAGCACCTGTGCAGCATTCAAGCTTAAAAGATGATTCAAACAATACAAATCAGGAGCAGTGCAAACCTTTTGAAATCAGAGGTAGAATCAAGTGCCATGGATCTGTCACGTTGTAAATTTTGAACTTACCGGTTGTCAGTAAATACAAAATTTACATGTCATGTTGTAATTTTGTATTTACTGCCACCCGGTAAATTCAAAATTGATAGCATGAGAGATCCTTTTCATGCTAGCACTTACCCCGACACGAGACCTTATACGGTCTCATCCAAAGGACCGATCTCAACGTTTTACTACTTATCCAAACTGGACATAAAACATTCTCAATAAATTTTTAAATCATTGTGTTGAACCTAACAAATTATTCCGACTCGCTGTATGGTC